AATATAATATATAATTTTAATATAATACATATAAAACCACACACACACACACACAAAACACAAACGGGGCCACAGCAACGCTTGGCAGGGGATAGCTAGTGATATAATAATATAATATAATATAATAATATAAATATAATATAATATAATATAATATAATATAATATAATATAATATATAATTTTATTATAATACAAATAAAACCACATGTATACACACACATATATATATACATACACACACAACACAGACCAGGCCACAGCAATGCATGGCAGGGGACGGCTAGTAATATAGTATAGTATAGTATAATATAATATAATATAATATAATATAATATAATGATAAATATATAATTTTAATATAATACATATCAAACCACACACACACACACATACACACACACACACACACACACACAAAACACAGACTAGGCCATAACAACGATTGGCAGGTGATGGCTAGTAATATAATATAATATAATATAATAAATATATAATTTTAATATAATAAATATAAAACCACACACACACACACACACAAAACACAGACTGGGCCACAGCAATGCATGGCAGGGGATGGCTAGTAATAGAATAGAATAGAATAGAATAGAATAGAATAGAATATATAATAATATATAATAATATAATAATAAATATATAATTTTAATATAATACAAATAAAACCACATATATACCCATACGCACACGCACACACACACACACACAAAACACAGACTGGGCCACAACAACGCGTGGCAGGGGATGGCTAGTAATATAATATAATATATAATATATAATAATATAATATAATATAATAATAAATATATAATTTTAATATAATATATATAAAACCACACACACACACACATACACACACACACACACACACACAAAACACAGACTGGGCCATAACAATGATTGGCAGGTGATGGCTAGTAATATAATATAATAATATAATATAATAATAAATATAATAATTAATATATAATTTTAATATAATACATGTAAAACCACATATATACACATACATACACACACAAAACACAGACTGAGCCACAGCAACGTGTGGCAGGGGATGGCTAGTACAAATTAAAATCCTGCGGCATATTTTGCTCTCATTTTTTCAATACCTATCTCTCAACTTCTTCAACAGAGTTTGAGGCAGCCATAAAAAAATGAGCAACTACTTCCAAAGCAAGGGCCACACAATTCCGCAAGGAAATCACATGTCAAACCAGGAATTGAACATTTTCACGAGCGAGCGGATAACTTCTTGGAAGCCTTCGCTCTCCATGTTTTTGATCCGCAGCAAAGAGGAGGCAAAGCAGGACAGAGCCCGAGTGCCAGTTCATGCTGTAATATAGGTCAGGACCTATTTACCAGCAGAAACAATGCGTGGCTGTAGGCAACCCAAAAATAGGTCATTTGGAGGGAGCCGAAGATTAGCCCTTGGCCCCGTCCTATGGGGGCTCGGCCGGGATAGGACAGCTTGGTTTCGCCGCAGAAAGTGAACAGGTTTTCAGCTTTACTTTAGCAGCTCAAAAATAGACAACACACACCATCAGCGGACAGACGTGAAGAACACAAACCAAAAGAGATAGGAACCAATACAAACTGCAGCTGGAAGGAAGTTTATTTATCTCTGGCACTCCCTAATCTTTCACAGAGCAAGAACTCAGGGTCACATTCTCACAGCTTGTTACTTTGCTCTTTAACCCTTCTGTGTCAAACTACATCTATTACCAGAGGCGGCCCTAGGTAATTTTCAACGGTAAGTAAACAGTATTTTGGCGCCCCCCACCCCCAACCAATCATTGATATATATTTTCTGTTCGTCGTGGGAGTTCTGTGTGCCATATTGGGAAGTCTGACTTGGCCATGGTAGTCCACACTCTGGTCACATCCCGCCTAGACTACTGCAACACTCTCTACGTGGGGTTGTCCTTCAAGATGGCCCGGAAGCTTCAATTAGTCCAACGTGCGGCAGCCATGATTCTAACAGGAGCGGAGCGCAGGGAGCATACGACCCCCCTGTTGTGCCAGCTCCATTGGCTGCCGATCTGCTACCGGGCTCAATTCAAGGTGTTGGCGTTGACCTACAAAGCCCTAAACGGTTCCGGCCCAAGATACCTATCTAACCGCATCTCGGCCTATGAACCCACCAGGACTCTGAGATCTTCCGGGGAGGCCCTGCTCTCGATCCCACCGACTTCTCAAGCACGGTTGGCGGGGACGAGAGATAGGGCCTTCTCGGTGGTGGCTACTCGACTGTGGAACGCCCTTCCTACGGACATTAGGCAGGCACCATCTCTCATGGCATTCCGAAAAAAGTTGAAGATCTGGATGTTTGTGCAGGCGTTCGAGTAATCTAGTGCAATATTGGTAATTGAACATAGGAATGGAACAATGGACGACGAACTTGGACTACGCTTTGATGATGAGACGATTGGGCTGGATATTGTAATAATTGTTTAGTGTAATTGCTTGTTGTTTATTAAGTGGATAATGTGTTAAGTGGTTAATTGTTATATGTGCATTGAATTATTGCTGTTTTTATTGGGTGTAAACCGCTGTGAGTCGCCTTCGGGCTGAGAACAGCGGTATATAAGCAAAGTAAATAAATAAATAAATAAACAAATAAATAATATTTGGTTCAATTCCATCATTGGTGGAGTTCAGAATGCTCCTTGATTGTAGGTGAACTACACATCCCAGTAACTACACTTGCGGCACTTACTCCCTTGCCTGGCCCACTTTGGGTCCGGAGGTGTGCCTGAAGACCCCGGCGTGTGCACCAAAAGTCACCTCTTCTCCTGACTTTCTCCTCAGCCATTGGGACCAAGAGAGAGAGAGAGAGAGAGGTGGAGATGCCCACCTTTCCTGAAGGTAGGCGCAAAAACAAAGGAGGGAGCGGAGGTGGGAGATACCTCCAGCCGGAGGGTCTCTCTCTCTCTCTCTCTCTCTCTTGTTCCCAATGGCTGATGAGAAAGTCAGGAGAAGAGGCAACTTTTGGTGCATACGCTGGGGTCTTCAGACATGCCTCCGGACCCGAAGCAGGCCGGGCACGGTGGCTCCGGCCCTTGGCCCACCCGCGGATTGGGGAGAGGAGAGGAGGCGGGTGGAGCGCCGGGGGATCGGGAAAGGGAGCCGGTCATGGGGAAGGGATCGAACGTGGAGAACGATTGAGCGCCAGCTCTGCTCTTGCACCCAGTGGATGGGTGGAACAGGAACGAGAGGGGCTAGGTGAGGCTCAAAGGCCCGGCCCCTTTGGGAAGAGGATCGCCCGGCAGCGAGGCAAGAAAGCTGAGGCTCCCCCCGGACTGCTAGGGCTGTTGTGAGCTGAGGGGGCGCTTCTCAAGTGGCGGTCGAGGGGCATTTACAGAGGCGCCTCTGCACCCCTGGCAAAAAAAAGTGTTCTGCGACCGCTTACTTCGCGTAATGGACGAGCCACCCCTGCACATATTTCTAATATTTCTAAGCTTCTCTACAGGTGGAGCTAATCCACGTCCTGTAGCTAACCTTTCCAATGCAAGACTGACCTAAAATGGCTCCCTCTCCTCCCAGAGCCCTGGGGAAAGGGGTGGAACCAAAACTTAACAGTGATTGATGGGTCATTGGCCCTATAATTGCAAACTAAGGAAAGCCACCTTATTGCAAAATGCATGGAACTTTGGAATACATGCAAACCCTCAAAGAAAGAAAAGGAAGTTGGAGCTCCTGGTACAGGTGGACTACAACTCCCATTATTCTTACTCAACACCCATCCAAATCTCAACAGTATTTTAAGTCAGTCATGTTGGGTATTCCGTGCAAAGTTAGCCATGACACTGGTCTCTGGATGTGGGTGAACTACAATTCCCATCATCCTTGCTCCTGGTACAATAATAATAACCCTTCAATCTTCAAGAAAGATTGGGAATCCTTCCAACGCATTCTCTGGAAGTAAAGAAAATTCAACACGGGGAATTTTGGATGCTACAAATGTTCATCGATGACATATTGTACACGATACGGAGATAGCAACACAATTCTTAAGGATATGAAAGAAAGAGATGCAAAAAAAAAAGGTGAAAAATCAAATGGATTAGTAGAAATTGATAAGCTATTGCAGACATGGGTAAACTTTCGGCCTCCAGGTGTCTTGGACTTCAATTCCCACCATTCCTAACAGCCTACTGGAGTTGAAGTCCAAAACACCTGGATCTCCGATGATTTGGAGAATGAGAAGGTGACCGGCTACGTTACGACAGATTCCGAGTACAGGTCTTGGGACGGTACCTTCTCGTAATACTGAAGTTCGTAGTCCAAGATGACGCCGTTGGGCTGGTCCGGCTGTGACCACGAAAGCGTGATACTGTCCACGGTCCGGCTCACCTGGTGCATGATGGATACGGCCGACGGGGCTGCAAGAGAGAAAGACACCACGTCAACGAGAAAGAGACTCTGGAGGAAGGTGGCTCTCTGGGGTCTTTGGATGTGGGAGACCACAACTCCCATCATCCTTAGTCAATCCCCCTCCAATCTCAACAGTGTTTTAAGTTAGTCACAATGGGTATTGCGTGCAGAGTCAGCCGTGACGCAGGTCTCCGGAAGCGGGTGGACTACAATTCCCATTATCTTCAACCCCCACTCAAATCTCAATAGTGTTTTAAGTTGGTCATGATGGGTACTGTGTGCACAGTTGACCATGATGCAGGTCTCCAGATGTGGGGAGACTACAATTCCCATCATCCTTGCTCAACCCCCATTCAAATCTCAACAGAATTTTAGTCGGTTATGATGCAGGTCTCCGGATGTGGGTGGACTACAACTCCCATCATTGTTGCTCAACCCACATTCAAATCTCAACAGCATTTTAGTTGGCCATGACGCAGGTCTCCGGATGTGAGTAGACTCCAATTCCCATCATCCTTGATCAAGCCTCTGGATGTGGGTGGCTTGATCCTTGCTCAACCCCCACTCAAATCTCAACAATGTCTTAAGTTGATCATGATGGGTATTGCATACAAAGTTAGCCATGACACAGGTCTCTGGATGTGGGTGGACTACAATTCTCATCATCCTTGCTCAACCCACGTTCAAATTTCAAAAGTATTTTAGTCAGCCATGAGACAGATCTCGAGATACGGGTTGACTACAACTCCCATTATCCTTGCTCAACCCCCACTCAAATCACAACAGCATTTTAAGTCAGTCATGTTGAATATTGCGTGCAAAGTTTGCCATGACAAAGGTCTACAGATGTGGGTGGACTACAATTCCCATCATCCTCAGTCAATTTCGCCTCCAATCTCAACAGTGTTTTAAGTTGGTGACAATGGGTATTGCATACTGAGTCGGCCGTGACGCAGATCTCCGGATGCGGATGGACAACAACTCCCATTATCCTTGCTCAACCCCTACTCTAATCTCAACAGTGTTTTAAGTTAGTCATGATGGATATTGCATGCCAAGTTAGCCATGACACAAGTCTCTGGATGTGGGTGGACTACAATTCCCATCATCCTTGATCAATCCCCCTCAAATCTCAACAGTGTTTTAAGTTGGTGACAATGTATATTACGTGCGGAGTCGGCCGTGACACAGATCTCCGGATGCAGGTGGACTACAGCTCCCATCACCCTTGGTGAATCCCTTCGAAATCCTGCCAGTATTTTAAACAGCTTGTGATGGGTCTTGGGTTGAGATTCATCGTCCGTTGGATTCACATGGCTCTCCAGATGGGGAGCCATCCTTGAAAATACATACATACTTAGTAGGCCTGTTTGATCAAGAAAAAATTTGTTTCTAAAATCGATTTGTAATTGGGGTGTTTTTTTGTTTCGACTCCTCCCAAGAAGTAAGCGTCTTCTGATTTCCTGGCCACAGTCTGCATCTGCAGTCATCTTTGCGCCTAGAGATACAGAGTCTGTCACGGCCTCTATTTCCCAGTTGTCAATCATTCTTGTTGCCATAATCTTGGTTTTTTTGATGTTTAGCTGCAACCCGGCTTTTCTGCTTTCTTCTTTCACCTTGATTAGAAGGCTCCTCAGCTCCTCCTCGCTTTCGGCCATCAGAGTGGTGTCATCTGCATATCTGAGGTTGTTAAGAAACTGTATTCAGGGTTGCGACACACTGCTCTAGAACATGGCCATATAGCCCGAAAAAACCTACAACAACCCAGTGATTCCGGCCATGCAAGTCTTCGACAATACAATATGGAAGGATAAGTTGATCCCAGTCCTGCCCTAAACCCAGTCAGGTTATTGTAGTTTTTTCGGGTTGTATGGCCATGTTCTAGAAGCATTCTCTCCTGACGTTTCACCTTCATTTGTGGCAGGCATCCTCAGAGGTTGTGTGGTTTTTTGGAAACAGGAAAATTGGGTTTATATATCTGTGGAATGTCCAGAGGTGGCCAAGGGCAACATTCACACCTACCTCTTGTCTGTTGGAGGTAGGTGTGAATGTTGCCATTGGCCATCTTGATTAGCATTTGATGGCCTGATAGTATTTTTTTGTTCCAGATTCATCATTGTTTGAGTCCACAGTGCTCTCAGAATGTAGGTGAACTACAACTCCAAAACTCAGGGTAAATGCCCACCAAACCCTTCCAGTACTTTTTTTTCGGTCATGGGAGTTCTGTGTGCCAAGTCTGATTCAGTTCCATCGTTGGTGGAGTTCAGAATGCTCTTTGATTGTCGGTCAACTATAAATCCCAGCAACTACAACTCCCAAATGACAAAATCTAATTTTTTTGAGTGAAGGACATACATTGGGTTGTTAGGTGTGTGCTGTCCAAATTTGGGGTCAATTCGTCCAGTGGTTTTTGAGTTCTGTTAATCCTACAAACAAGCATTACATCTATATAAATAAAAATGTAATGTTCGTTTGTGATACCATCAGAACTCAAAAACCACTGGGGGGAATTGACACCAAATTTGGACACTAGACACATAACAACCCAATGTATGTCCTCCACTCAAAAAATTCATTTTGTCATTTGGGAATTGTTGCTGGGATTTATAGTTTACTTACAATCAAAGAGCATTCTGAACTCCACCAATGATGGAATTGGACCAAACTTACCACACAGGGCTCCCATGACCAACATAAAAAACTGGAAGGGATTGGTGGACATTGACCTTGAGTTTGGGAATTGTAGTTCACCCACATCCAGACAGCACTGTGGACTCAAACAATGATGGATCTGGACCAAACTTGATACAAATATTCCATATGCCCAAATATGAACACAGATGGAGTTTGGGGGAAATAGACCTTGACATTTGGGATTTGTAGTTACTGGGATATATAGTTCACCTACAATCAAAGAGTATTCTGAACTCCACCAATGATGGAATTGAAGCAAACATGGCATACAGGACTTCCATGACCAGTAGAAAACACTGGAAGGGTTTGGTGGGCATTGACCTTGAGTTTGGGAGTTGTAGTTCACCTACATCCAGAGAGCACTGTGGACTCAAACAATGATGGATCTGGACCAAACTTGACACAAAAATTCCATATGCCTAAATATGAACACAGATGGAGTTTGGAGGAAATAGACTTTGACATTTGGGATTTGTAGTTAGTGGGATTTATAGTTCACTACAATTAAAGAGCATTCTGAAACCCACAAACGACAGAAATGGGGCAAACTTCCCACACAGAACCCCCATGACCAACAGAAAATACTTAAGGCCATCCAGTCCAACTCTCTTCACCAGGGCAAGAAAATGTAATCAGAGCCCTCCTGACAAAGAGCCATCCAGTCATAAATATAGATAGATAGTAGGGCTGTGCGGTTTCGTTCGTTAATTTCGTAATTCGTTAATAATTCGTATTTAAAGTGGCTTACGATCCGATATTGAACCATTCAGGAGCAACTAAAAATCGAAATGAATTTTTAAAATTTATTTCGAAATTGTTTCGTAATTGTTTCGTAATTGTTTCGAAATTGTTTGTTATTATTTCGTTATTATTTCCGTATGTTTGGTGCAGGTTTTATAGTTGTTGTTTGTTTTATCATAAATTATCACACCAACAGTCAACAACAGAGGGAGAGGGAAGCTTCAGAAGTTCCCCCTGTCCCATTTGGAAGGTTTTTTAGTGTATTGCTCAATCGCATCCGCCATTAACGAATCGATTCGTTATTGTTTCAAATTGTTTCGTAATTTCCGAAATTTCGTAAATATCGAACTTTTTTAAAGAAAAAATTCGGAATTCTTTTAAAAAACGAAACGCAAAAACCCCCTAAAAACGAAACGAGTTTAGAAACAAATTTTTCCGTGGTTGCACAGCCCTAATGGGCGGTTTCATTCGTTAATTTCGTAATTCGTTATTAATTCGTATTTAAATTAGCTTACGATCCAATATTGAGCCATGCAGGAATAGTGTGAGGAGTAAATTAGATTCGAAACAATTTTTTCAATTTATTTCGTAATTGTTTTGTAATTATTTTGTAATTATTTTGTAATTATTTCGTAATCATTTTCACATGCCTGGTGCAAGTTTTATAGTTGTTTGTTTTATCACACCAACAGTCAACAACAGAGGGGGAGGGAAGCTTCAGA